CAAAATTTAGTCATTTGTAATGTGATCATAATTAACAGTTTTATAATGTCTCATTTGTTAAGTGATATATAGAACTATCCCCCTATATAAAAATAGTTAATATGAAGTTAATTTACATTAGGTCTACCATGGAACTAAGGCTCCGAATCGAATCGAATCGAATCGAATTTGAGAGTGATTCGATTCGATTCGAATTCAAAAAAACAGGATTCGATTCGATTCGATTCGAATCAAACCGGATTCCTAAAATTTTTTTAACGTCATATTAAATTTATATTACACAGTGAATCTCAATTAGTGTGTGCCTCCATTTAATGAATACTAATGGATTGAGATCTAAGAATGGTTTAATGATAATAAAATTCTTCTTGATATGATATTTATTCGAATTTTTAATAATTACGGATTTCTTTGATATTAATATTAATATTAATGGTCGTGTGACTTATAGTAAAAAAGTAACGATTTACAGTTGTACAATTCATTAAATCTATATTACTGATACTTCTTCAACTTCAATTTCTTTCAACAAGAGATGCAATTATTGCTCCAGGTAAAATTTTTTTTTTTGAATTTTACAATATTTATACTATATAAATAAATATAAAATAAAAAATATTTTTGTAAATAAAATTATAAAATATACATTAAAATAAGGATTTTTTGAATTGTATCAAATTATATATTCGAATCAGTTTGAATTTCGTTGATTCATTCGGAGCCTTAATTAAATTGAATCAATATTAATGATTTTTAAAAAACATTCATGTAATAAACCATAAAATTATTTTTAACTTAAGATGTGGCAAAAAATATTATATATACTTGCATTTATTATATTTAACTAAATAAGTTACACCAGAATCATAAAAATCATTGGATTCTTCTCTTTTCATTTTAACTACTATTAAAAAAATACTCATATTCACTTTCTTCATTTTCATTTTGTATTTGAACATCATCATTTCTACATTGATGTCTTTTATGGTATTTGCAATTTATAATTACTATAAATGTATACCAATTTTAGGACATGATCGGCTGTTAATCAATTTCATTTCTTATCATGAATATAAAACAGAAGCTGACCAATTTTTTGGATGCTGCAGATGATGTTGGAATGGATAGAGCCCATTTTGCCATTATATTTTGGTACATAACACAAATTTATTTATTACCATAAATATTTATTATGTGCATGGCACATCTCTACTCCACTGTACTGTAACCATGATTTGGTTTAAAATATAAAAAATCATATCTGATCAATTGTCTCTTGTCTAAGTTCCTGTGCTTGATTACCTGTGATGACCTAAGATAAACTTGTGTATAAGATTAATATGGGGCATGCTGCAACAAAACCAGACAAAGTGAACACTGGCCTCTTCTAGTTATTTAATTCTTTCTTCTAAACCCTTTACCTTATCTAGTAATTCCTGTTTTTGCTTTTTACTTCACTCTTCAGATTTTTCCTGAAACTTGGCTATTTCTTCTCTTTCAATTTTTAATTCTTCTTTGGTAATTGATAACTCTTTTTCTAGTTCTCTAGCTTTATTTTCTAGGTGAAAACTGAAAGCTTGTGAAAGTAGTTCTTTGTCAGAAAGTGATTTAGTTGATTTAGTTTTTTAAATGACTACAAAAATATCTGTTTCTATTCCTTTTTAACCTACCACATTTCTCACATCATGGAAGAGTATTATTATCATAATCGTTTTTACATTTACCACAGATAAAGACAATGTCAGAATAACCATCAGGAGTATTACAAGCCACCATTTGATGAGTAGCAGGGGCAGTATCAAAATTAAGAAGAGTTGGATCATCAAAATCTAGAAAACAGAAGTTACACTCTTGTTCATCTCCCTTTGCTATTTCCAGAACTCTATATTCTAATTTCATATTAATCTACTTACTTTTCTGAATAATAAAAGCTTGGAATTTCTCTTTAGTTTTTCTTTTGCTTTATTTACTAATTGTTTAAACTTTTGTAATCTATTTTCTTTTTGTTGTTTTGGTAAAGCTGGTAATTCTTTGTTTGCTAAATTATCTCTTCAGTTTATTTCCTGACAAGTTATTTTCCAACAAATCTATTTGGTCTAAGAGTTTGCCCATTGCAGCATCATGTTTTAGTATCATTTCATTCATTTGACATTTTCTCCACTTCATAGCTGTGTTTAATGCTTTTTCAGCTTCTTCTCATTCCATTTCCACTTCATCTTCCAACTCTTCTACTTTTATTTCCAGTTCTTTTTGCTTTGCTTCTAATTCAGCAACTTTTTCTTCTAAAACAGCATTCTTTTCTTTTAATTCCTCTTTTTCTTGGTAAGTAAAACCAAAAGCTTCTTCATAATTTAATGCTTCACTAACAAAACTTTTAACAATATTTAATATTTTTGGAAGTGAATCCATCACTGAAAACAACTCTTTCAATTTCAATTCTATTCTTTTTTGGATAACTTACTCAACCATTGTTAGGTCAAGTAAATCTTTCTAAGGTTCTTAAACTTGTTACAATATATTCTGAACTTTCAGTAAGGCTGATTTCCAGTGACAATCCAACCATTATAATTTTTATCTTCAGTGATCAATTTCCACAAATCTTTATAACATTCACAAATTATAAAAGCAGATCCAAAACCTTTACTACCAAAGATATTCACACCATCTGGAAAGGAAATAAACTTATCATCTGGATTAATCATTGATGATAAAGCAGCCTTCTAAAATTCAATCATTCTTTCACTTGCCAGCTCTAAAAAATGAAAAATCAATGAATAAAATTTCTGATATTTTACAAGATTAATGGAATGTATGAATATTTCAATTCTATATAAGAATATGCTAATAATATTACATATCTGTTTGCTTGAGTCTCTTCCTTTTATTTGCATCATCAAAAGAAAATGACTGTTTTCTTTTTCCTGTAAAAGTTATTCAATGGTGTAAAGGAAATAGTAATGGTGAACAAATGTAAAGGAAATAAATGATATAAAAAAATAAATAAAGAATGAAACAGATGACAAATTTAGTTATAATTGTAAATAGTGGGTTAAATATTCCACAGTCAAATAAATAAATAAACAAAATGGAATGAATGAAAAATAATAATATATATTTTTTTTTTACACAATTTTTTCATTACCTTCATTAAATTTTCTTAATTCCTTCCCCCACTCTTCTATTTGTCCCCTCCAAAAGTCTTTTTCTTCTTCTGATTTCTTCTTTTCTTCCTTCAACTCATACCTCTGCTCTTCCCAACCCTTCTTCTGGTTTTCATTCCTCCATTCACCATCTGCCAATTTATTATCCAACTTGTCTAACCTCTCCTTTTTTTCCCCCTATTTCCACTTCTCCAGCTTCTTTTTCGCCTCTTAATACTCCCCTCTTGCTATTTCTAATTCTTGTTTTGTTGCCATTTTTAAAAAAATTTTTGATTTTACATGTATATCATAATTGTTACAAGGGTAATATTATATACAGAAAGGTTCTTTTTATGAAATATACAGAACCTATGTGACAAATAAGGATTAATTCTTAGAGTTGGTAAACACTATGTAATTCCTGCCACCCCAGCAGTGTCTGGAATTGAGTGCGGGGGTTTATGTTACATATTGAATTTAGCTAATCAACATTAAATTTTCTACCAGAAGAACAAATTTGATTGGCTAAATTCAATATGTAACACAAACCCCGAACTCAATTTCAGACACTGCACCCTAGGGTTTGTATTCATGAATATCATAAGGGGGTCATACAGGGTCACACACTATTAAAATCAAGTGATCAACTCATGTTTTTAAGGGATTTTTTGCTGTTTTAATAGTGTGTAACCCCCTTAATGATATTCATGATATTCATGAATAAAAACCCTAGTTATGAATTGGCACAATTTGATTTCTACAAAGTTATTGTTCCATAATGGGAAATATGTTATTGATGGAACATAGTGTGGTAATAAATAGACTTAGGAATGGTGCATCAATATTGTGTGCTAGTTTTGCTAGCTGATCAACTTTGTTATTATTAATATTAGTATTGTGTGCAGACACTTTAATGAGTGATAATGAAATTTGTTGTAACACTAGAACTTCGAAAAACACATTCCAAAAAAAATCTTCACATATTAATTTTTATATAAGACTATATATAATTTTGATCTACATATTCGACCAACAACCATCTTATTTTTCTATATTATTATTTATATAATATTATTTATATTTTCTTATGAAACAAGTTACCAGTTAAGTGCTCAGTAATTTATTTAATTGTAATATTATACATTTTTGTATAAAAGATAAGCTTTCTGCAATTAATAAAGAGAAAACTTAATTAAATTTTGACATAAGGAAAAGGGTTTTCTTACATAAAAGATTGGTTTTGTTTATTTATATGTTTAAAATTTCCTTTATAGTGCAAAGATGAAATCAGTTACATATATTAGTTTTTGGAGTGAAAATAGTGAAGTAAAATTATTAAACTTGAAGTTGCAAAGTCAACACCATATCATTATTATTGATTAACCATTTAAAGAAAGATTTTTAAGAAATAAAACACTTAAGGAGTTCTGTTAAGATTGAGGGTTGGACTATTTTCAATAGCTACTTGTCTACATTTTCCACGTATATTTTCGGTTTGAAATTCCTGGATGAGCTTTTCTGTTTCAGTCAACTTCCTCTGAACAAAACCAGATTAGTTGAGCATTTGAAAATTGGTTATAATGATAGAACAAGAACAATATACATATACATACCTCCAATTCTTTCAAGAGGCAAAAGGCACCTTCAAGTAAAGCACAGTTTTCTTTATTTGATGGAATAGAACAACTTTCTATTAGTCCAAAGTGATATATCCCATCTCCGGCCCAGTTCATCGCATATAGAGATAATTCCAACCCTGCATTGAGTGAAATAAATCAATCAGTTATATAGCAAGTCTAGGTTAATTGTCATACACATAAAATATCTGTCAGAATGAACCTACCTACAAGTAGCCAACCATATACAATTAGCTTCTTTCTCTGATTGTCATGTAAATATTTCCATTTTTTGAGAATATAATTCAAAGAGTCTCGCATTAATACAGCAAGTTTGACTTTATCTAAATATTTCTTTTTCTGTGAAGCAAGTGACATGCCAAGTGGACATAGTCCATATGCTACTTCTCCGTATAAGGCTTCAAAATTATTGGAAGTCCTTGTGAGTATGCCTCTCATATCCACCTTTCTTCCCATGTGAGCTTTGATAAAAGGATTTGCATTTTCATTCCTCAAGTTTTTCGAACTAAGTGCCTGAGTCTCTCCCCTATGTGCACAAAGATACAAATCTCTTAATATTATATACCCTGCTGTAAATCATCACACAATCACATACCATATATCTTTCACTAATGAAGTGTCCATAACTGCATTAAATAAAGGGTATATTGTGGTAAATTTAAGTTCTTCCTCTGTCTTGGCTCCCTTCTTAGACATATTAAATATTCTGACAAAAAAAAATCTTGTTAGATATTAGAGTATACTACATAGATAATGATGAGTCAATCCTTACATAAATTGAATATTCGCGTGTAGTTTTTCGTTATCTTCATAATCTACAAGTTTAACAGGATCACAGCCAGAATCAAAATATTCACAAAGGTTTTTTGGTGTTGGTTGTGGAGACCAGTGAACACTATTGGCAAAACCTTGAGAGATTTCATTGATTTCACTTTGGGAGAACTCTATACACCCATAGAGACTTTCCTGCGTTAGGTCAAAGATGCCCCAGTAACCCAACCTATTAAATTGCAAGCAAACTTAAAAACAAGTAATTTTATTATGTTGAAATCTTAGCAACAAAGCTTACGTTATAATTTGGCGTGACTTTGGAATTTTTTCTTGATAGTTCTTGAATTTCTTGGAGATTCTTTGCAAAAATTCTTGCTTTGAAGTCTATCAAGTATAATTATATCAGCATGCTAAGAATATAATTATCAAGTTTTAACTTGACTGTATCGAACAAAAACTTACATCAATGATCTTCTTTGAAACTGGTAATGTTGTCTCTCCTTTCAAATCTGATTTATCAATAGAATTAATTAAAACATCCTCATTTGATTCATCAAAGAGAACAGACTCTTCTGTTGGTTCATCATTGACTGTTCTCCTTTTTTTCTGTTCATGGGAACTTTTTTGTCCTTCAGGATTTCTTGTTTTAATTACTCCACTTTCTTTTTTTCGTTTATTTTCTTGACTTTTTAATGACATTTTGATATGTATTAAAAAAACAAAAACATGTATAGTACATTTTAGCATTTCTATTTATGTAAACTAGAGTGATGAGTGATGGCGATAACCACCACCACCATTCTTAATACTTACTCTCTCACCTCGACTGCATCTTTGCCTTTTCTTTTTTTGCCAATAATTTTTTTATTGTTTGGCATTTTTTTTGTTAAGTTTGATTTGATCGACGTGTACACATTAACTATTTATCCTATTGGTTTTTTTTTTGGTAGGACGGACGCGATTTGATTTTTTTTTTCTTTTTTGGAAAAACAATTTATTTTTTGACAGAGTCCAAGGTAACAAAACGTGAGTGTTGTTGTTTGGTTTATGGTTTGGTTTGGGTCTCTTAAAGTAACGTGTTAATAGCTAACCAGAGGTACTTTTTTTTAATTTGCATTGATGTTTTTATTTGTTTATAAATATTTTAATTGGAAATAAAACGCGGAACAGATCATTGCTGGGTAACTACAAGATTTTCATTGATAATATTTTACTTTTCGTAATCAATATTAATATACTATTATTATAAATATTATAATCACAGGATGTCAAGGCAGCACACCATTTAAAAAGAAACATTTCGAATATGCGATGTTTGATTATCAGAAATTGGCAGGCGTTGAAGCACGCACGCTACCATGAACACTTTACAGTCATTCACACACGTTCCTCATGTACATAAGGCTAATCTTGGCCTGGCGACCCAAAGATATGATGATGCAACAAAATTCCAGAAGGTGCGTGGATCTGGGGTTTATCAAAATATTGCATCATTATCAAAGATACTTTCACTACTTAAACTTCTTCCCTCATGGCACATGAGCTAGCATTACTGTATATGCATGCTAGCTAAAAGGTTGTTTGCAACGGTCCTACTTCTAGGATAAAGATGGATGGTTCTGTGACCAAAGAGTTGCAACCTTGGATGTTGCAGCATTAAAGAATTGTGATTTTAAATGTACATCAACATCTAGATTCATCAAAGCAATGAAAATCTGCAACTCGTTTCAAGCGCAGGAGGTCACAATTCAGAGCAGGGTTGGTGGCCCTGAAATTGCATTTGGGCTCTGATGTTAAGAGGAAAGTTGTAAAATAATGTTTGTTTTATATAATCATTTTCCTAAATGCTCTGTTTTTCTTTAATTTGTTTTTTGAATGGGGGTAGGGTTGTTGGTCAGCAGGCATGCCACTAACAAAACAGCAACCCAGGACTAAAAACTCGGAATTCAGGGAAAAACCAAAACAAAAACCCAGGTTGTAATCTCCGGAATTAGAGAATTTTGAATCAGGTGCCAACTTTTATTCTAGTGTGGCAATAACACAAGGCAATCATCACACAAATGCCAATTCTCATCAGCAAACAATGCCCATATAGTGACTGCCAAGCCTGGTATGAGGGGAAGATAAAGAAAAGTTTTGTCCAAAGTCTTCCAACTTGTTCAGGACCACTTCACCTGTGGAAAGAAAATTCCATGGTGCTGATTGTGCTTAATTGCACAGTCCTGCATATGTCAATGATGATATCAAATGTATTGAATAATAATCATGATCATCATGAAGATTTGATGGATGGAGGCATTCACATACAAGGAAAGGATTAAATAGTTAAGTCATGTTTGTTTTATTAAAGATGTATAATTAATTATATTTAAAATATACAATAAAAAAATTGCAAGGCTGCACCACTATGCCAATCAAACTATCAAGCTGTTATGATTTAAAATTCTTTTGTGCTAATTTAGGGTCTCATCTTTCTTTGCTTATATATAATCTATTGGTTCTCTTTTTACTGGTCAAATGATCCCAAATTGGGTAATGGGGTATCAGGATCTGATATCTGAATGCCAATATTCTTTAAAAAAATAATCAAGGTATTGGCATACTGATAAGTCAATAATATTCTTAGTGTCACTGATTAAATTTGGGAGAGCATGTTTTAATTGGTGATAATAATTATTTTTGTATTTGTGTGGATCAGAATGAATAGGTTATCAACGAATTGATTTTGGATTAGCAAATAATTTTGTTTAAAGAAGATAAAAGTTTTAAATAAAATAAAATATTTATTATTTTATTTATTTTAGTTTTCTTAGTCAAAACTAATTTACTTATTTGCAAGTTTTCCTTAGTCAAAACTAATTAACTTATTTGCAAGTTTTCCTTAGTCAAAACTAATTAATTAACTTATCACAAAGTTACTTTTTTTACATTAGGTTGAAATTGAGTTCTTTATATACAATTCAATTAATTAGAAATTCTAATATTCCAAAACGATTCTTTCTTAAATTACGACGTTATACAAATAATTAGTAAAATAAAATTAAACAAGTTTACAAATGAGGAGCTATCAAGATTTCATTTACGTTTCTAAATTCGCAGAAAAACATACTTGAAAAATTATTAATATGTTACAATTTTTTCAAAAAAAAATTTTATATACGTGTGCATAAAAATAAACATGTAGTTGCATAGGTACGTGTTCTTAACAATTTCGAACACGTTGATTGCAGCAACAACAATCAATGATGGGCATATAAACATATGCATGAACACATGTTAACATTGCAGCATGGATGACATGACAATAAACGCGTCCGCGTGTGAAAAAAAAAGAAAAGACATATGGTGTAAAAATAAACACGTATGTGTTCTTAACAATTTCGAACACGTTGATTGACGGCAACAACAATCAATGATGGGCGTAGGAACATATGTGGGAACACATGTTAACATTGCAGTATGGATGACATGACAATAAACATATCCACGTAAGATTTTGTTACAAACATGTTGATTAAGCGGATCTCATGCGCCTGAATCAAAAATCAACGGATAAATGTAGATCTCAAATTGAGGTGCATTTGTTTGTTGGAACTTAATTTTGTTGAACTTTTCATTAAAAACCAACGCAAAAACATGTTTTCTTGCCATAAAAAAAAAAAAAAATGCTCGGAAGGTCCAAAATCAATTATGTTTTATTGTCAATTCTCACAACAATTAGTTTAAAAGTTAGTTGTTAAGTAATTTCCGGCCAATTAAAATTATTAAAAAAATTTGTAATTTTGGTGGTTTTTCTTATCCGATGATTCTTGATGTTTTTGAAGAGTGCACAAAAAAATAGATAATAATAATAATAATAATAATTAGATACATGTGAAATTTCTAACATTCTAATACGTGTTAATTATTTATTCAAATTTTGAAATTAATTTGTGAGAATGGAAAAGAGTAAACAGGTTTTCACAGATCACAAACCTATAAAAAATCACCTATATAAATGAACTACGCTCCCTCCTCCCTCCTTTCTCTCCTCTTTTCTTCTCTGAGATCTGATTAAAATATGGAAACGATTTCAAAATCTGCAAAAAAAATTACGAGTTTTAGCAAGCAATAGTGACACGACGAGCATTCAATCTTTTATATGTGTTAATAAGTCATATGAATAAGGCGTCTGATTATTGCAGCCATTATTATTCCTGAAATTACAATTTTTCTGTAATATTCAGTCAGCAACACTTAAATTCCTCCATATAAATTACATTTAAAGATGCCAATAATATTTGGACATATAGTATTATTGTTGTTGTTGTTATCACTGCTTTATTGAATTAAATAACTTTAATTCTTGATTCTTGTTGTTATTATTATTAAATGAATTTGAAAATTCATATTTATTATTATCTGACTTCTTGCTCAAATCAAATTACATCCAAATCATTATTTTTACAAATAACCCGATTCTTGACTTCATCCTTCTAATTAATTAGCTTTACATCAAATTTAGTATTATGAGATATTTTTTATCAAATGGGTCATCAGGTTTTTCCCGCGTTTTAATAAATAAAGACAATAAAGACAAAGAATCATTATGAAGTTCTCTTATACGTTTCTATGTATAATAGTACTAAAAATTTTTTTTACTTACATTTGTATGATCCCCTTAACAATAAAAAATAAAACGCTTTACATTTAAAATAACATTCACTACTAACAGTTATTTTGAACCAACCTTTTAAAAAAATAAAAACAAACCTTTCCGCCAATAAATATATTTGGGACAAACCAAAAAACATTTTTTATCGAACATAAGATATATTTAATAAAACAAAAATAACGAGTTACAATATTCAGTATTACATCTTTGTATAAATACTATACAATCATTAACAAGGTATAACTTTAGCTGCATGTAGGCAGTTACTGCTATTGGCCCCAAGCATTTGAAAAGGCAAAATCCATTCATTGTTTGCATGACCCTTATTGATATATATGATTCATAAACCTTGATGGTTGGGAGAAAATTTACCAGATAATAATAGTGGTTTGGAACGGCCAAAAAAAACTTAACCGGTTAATTATATAGTAATAGATTTTTTTAAAGATATTTGTCAAAAAACTTGAGCGCAAATCAAATCACATGAATATTACTAATACTAAGATTTTTTCTATATACAAAAAATATGAACAAGTTGTTTGATGGTTTAAAATTTCTTTTACAACTTTTATGCTCATTATAAATCAACAGTTATATTATCTTTCAATAAACTATAATAATAATACTAAAGCAAATATATTATAATTTACTAAATTACAATGATCCAAGATTTCGATAGGTAGTAAACCAATTTAATTGTTATCTCACTTTTTTAAATGTGGCTCTATTTCACCTATTGAGCTAAAGATTTACAATTAAAGCACGTAGGAATTTTGGCCATTTTAAATTTCTACATTTAGAAAACGGTTCAGGATTCTGGCTACTACAACTAATTAATTTTTCGTTGATCTACATTTTAGTGTTAGTCACCAAAACTACTTTGGAGAAGTTGCGAAACTCTCTAGTTTTGGAAACCAACACTATTCTCAATTCGAAGCTTGTTATTTGTTTATTAACTAGAAAGTTACATCAGATTCAGTAATTGAGAATGCTACCAACATGTAAAAAAGCTTTTGACATATAAATGTTGTTAACATACAAAATTTAAGATGAATAGATTTCCACAATATTTAATCTTTGAGACCACTTCCGAAACTGCGTCACGCGTTTTTACCCTCTTGTATAAAACAGAAAGTATAAAATATAATGACGGCTGAAATGTGTGCGAAAGAAGCTAAGAATACTTTTGATTTTAAAAACGAGTTTAGTGAATATTTCAGGCAATTAATTCGCTTAAACAATTCTTATTCATCTCTTACATCATTTTTCTCTCTGAATTTCAAAGAATAGATAATGCAAGTAACGAAAGAAGCAGAAAAATGTGATTTTTATCAAGCTGCATGTACATGATCATATTTGGTTTAACAATGTATTATTTTGTTCAACTCAAAGACATGCATGTAAATACAATCTATGTTTCGATAAATGAAATGCGTTTTAAAAGAGATGGACAACAATATAAAAATTATTTATTATTGTCTCTCAGAATTATAAGAAAATTTATATTGTTCATGAAAAAAAAAAGAACGTTTATTTAAAGACGCAAATTTCCTTTCATCTTGTAATTATCTCATAAAAAATGAGTAAGTTTCCGATGGCCACAAAGTCATTATGATATGATATTGAAATTCAATAAAATTTGATCTAGTAATATCTGCTAGTAATTATATTTGTTGCTAATAAAACTGTTCTTTTTTTTTATTTTATTTAAGGTGCTACATTTGGTTGTAATTACATGGACCCTAACACATACAGGTGTGGACGTGGGTGTGAAGGAGATCGTTTGGGAGAAGGAGTTTGTAGCATTTGTGCTAAATGTAGACAACATTGTGCATGTCATAGTAAGTAAAAAATTCATGTTATATGTGTGGCCGCGAAAACTATTTCTTTGAATTTCGATATCAAATATCAAAATGACTTTGTGACATGAATAATATGTTACTCATAATAATAAAACAAAATACTTATCGCAACATGTTTGATTCCATTCCCCTCTGGTGTTTTCACAAAGAACGGTAAGTGCTTTTGTTATTTATTATTTCTTTCATTTCATATATTTTTATGATTTCCTACGTATTTCAATATTAATATTAATAGTTAGCGACAATTTGTTCCTGAAAAATTTTGAATCTATCATTCTAATGCAGCATCCCAAAGTAATTAGACACTTTCATAATTATCGTTACACATTTGGGCTGCATCTATATTAATAATATTAATCAGCTTAGTTTCTTTTATGGTTTTCCATATTGTTATTACCATTTATCCAAGTAGCGCTTTGTATATGGTTCCAAACCCACCTTCACAATATCCTCTATACCTTCATAAGGAATCGATTAAATATAATTTTAAATTGTGTGCTTTTAATTAATTTACCTAATGTGTATCATTGCCACTAGTTGTTATTCAAATGATTGATACCATGGATAATTAGTGTTATTATACCTATTACAAGTTAAACATATACACTCCTTTATCTGAATATTTATCATTCGTAATTCTCTGATATTTTTATTTTTATTTGAATGTTTTACAAATTTATTTATTGAATACCCATAATTCTTTAAAGATAAAAAATGATAATATGCTCCTTTTTATTTTAAAAAAAGATATGGTACACGTCCTTTTATATTTTATAATAGAACTCAAGAACTATATATTTTAAAAATTTTCATTAAATGATAGATTAGGTATATAGGCCTCTCTAGCTTTAATGCAATGGATGGAAAAGGTTATTTGTTGTAGAATTTTATTTCTTTTTAGTACGTGTTTGTTTTACTATGTTCACGGGAAATTTTTTTAAATATAAAATAAAGCTTTACAATGCCTCCTAAATCCAGAAAAAACATTTAAAATCATTAACAAAAAAATTTTCAAGATTTAATGCTTTCGATAACAATTCTTAAACAATTTGAAGTAATCTAGGTGAATCTGTATTATCATCTGACAATGAATTAATGATGTTAGCAGGTAGAAAAACCTTAGCCGGCTTAAACGGCTTAGCCGACTAAGAACTTAAATAAATCCCAGTTGATGAAAAAACTTTTCAGATGGTACTAAGTTTGCCAGTATTATTACTACTATTTATTATTTTATTACTATAATTATTATCAATATTATTTATTATTTTTATTATAACATCTCGCCTTTAATGGTTCGAATAAACAAATAATTCGAACAGAACTAATAATTCGAATAGGATGAACAATTCGAATAGGGAGAATAGTTAGAATAATTAGAATAATAATTCAAATTAAAATAAGAATTTGTATTACAAATGATTTTTACCCTGATATGATGTATTGTATTTTGTTTTTTTGAGCAAACGTATGTTTTTTTTTGTCGTTCTAAGTAACGCAGGTGGACCCATCTCAACTAAATGTTATGTCATTGAATTATGCACTAAAATTCCAGATTTTTTTTTTTAGCCGGCTGAGCCGTTAAAAATTCCTTAGCTGGCTAAGCCGATAAATTCCTTAGCTGGCTAACATCATTACAATTAAATGATAAAATTTGGTATATGATGAGAGACTTTTGAGGGTAATTTTAACTCAGTATTACCTTCAATTTTTGATAAAATTATGGCGACAAATTCAAATCAAATACTAATTCAAAAACATCACTTTTTTACATTGGCAATTCTGTATGCACAATTTAGACGAACAAATGCTGGCATTAAAAAATTATGGATGTAAATACCAATCAACTGACGTCATTTTTTCCAAAAAAAAATTCTCCAGATGATGTCGTTGAATGAGACAATTAAAATTAATTCTAAAGCAAGATAAAACTATTGATTCTGGTGTTAGCATCCAAACAATGTGACAATTCTTTAAAGATTATGATTCGAGTTTTGCTGGTCCATTTTAATCTAAAACAATAAATCGAAGAAATTTTTTTTTAAGATATGGGGATAAGATGGGAATTTTTTTAAATTAATTTTTGTACGTTATATAAGTTAAATGATTTTGACAAACATAAAGAGCAGACAGTTACAAAAAAAACTTTGATCTGCTTTTTCCTGCAAAAATTGCCAAACAGATGTTGTTATGTTTCTAATTCCTATCTTTTGCAAGATATTATAGAAGAATGGACCCATCCTGTTGGCAATGAGAGTGACGAGGAAAAATTGGGTAGAAAATCTTCCAAATAGGAGATTGGTATAGAGGACATCCATTTATTGGGGGAAGTTGAACAAGATCACCTATTAGAATAACATTAATTCCTCCAAATGGTGCAAAGATTTGATGAATTCCAGAAAGCATCTCCGATGTGAAGGTCAACAATGAAGCTTGAACCATGGAGGCTTCATAATAATAGTGTAAACTTTTCAAAGTTCTTGATTGAATTCTTGGTCAGCAAATGTTAATGTGACTATATCCAGAGAGCTGATTGAATGGTTTGTCCTTGAACATTGGTGGCAGAAACCCCAGTTGGTGCCATCAGAAAGAAGTTTTTATTCAGTTCTGAGAATTTTTTTTTGCAAATAGATCTATCAAGAATGACTTACCAGAGCCTGCTGATCCACTAATGAAAAAATATGGATAACGATGTGTATCTCTGGGTCCCATGTAATTGAAAATTGTTTGCACAGCTGTATTGTGAAGGTGAGCTCAACATACTGTTGTTTGGAACAATTGTGGTAAAATCTTGATGTTTTCAAGTTGACCTTTGATAATATCTTGGTTAGCAGTGATTGTAGAGAATATAAGAGAGTTTCGATGAGATTGTAGTATTGGTATTAGTCAAGCATGTTGATGTCCAAATTCTTCAGGGAACCTTGCAAGGTAATGATCATGATAGGTTCATAGGCTCCTATCTCGCTGGTATTTTTAGCAAAATTATTTGATAAAAATACAATTCACCATGTTCTAACCCAAGACTTCATACCTTGTCAAGATGTTTGTCTTTCTTTTCAACATATAATTTTCAAGGTTGACTCTATAAATTGTTTGGTTACTCGAATTGATCACTGTTAGTTTTATGTCATATTGCCCAAATGTAACTCTTGCAAATTACATTGTCTAATGGTTCCCAATTTGGTTGAGCTAAATATTTTTTAATCAGGCTTTTCCAATGCAGTTAATCATCATCAAGATTTATCCTGGACAATGTGAGGATGCATTTTAATCTGACCGACGGGGTCAATCACAATACATTTTACTTGAACTGATGAATTACATATTGTTCCTCCTAACAACAGAAACATAAATTCCATAGAACCTAGCCGACGTGCATGAACATATTCACGAAATAATTCACCTTCTTTGAATTTCTCCTGCTCTGATATTAGAAGTACCGGGGGAAGGTTCTGGTTTGGCAATGTATTTGTTGACAGTCTCTTGATGTGATATATTGAATGTTCATATGCGCACTCCATGAGCACGGTTGAGGTATGACCTACTGGTCAAGAGGATTCATACAATTGCAAGCATATTTAATTAATTCGATAATCTAATATGTAAATCCGGGATATCACCAAAATGTAAAATTTATGCAACGTCTCAACCTTAAAAAAAGCCGTAAAAATACGCATCTGTTAGAAAATTATTGTAATAAGAAAGAAAAAAAGATATTTATAATAACAAAGATGTTGATGATTTGACACTTGAGAATTTACGGTAGAAAATTTATTAATATTGAGGAATCTTGTGCATTCTTATCTGTTGATCACAAGGCAAATTGTAAGTTAATTAATTATAAAACTTTATGTTATTTTATAGTCAATGTGGAAATTTTTTAGAAACTTTTATGGAATGGTGAATTTTCTTCCCCTGTAAAAGAAACATTAAAAAAATGATGGTGCATCTGTAATAGATAATATTGGATGAATTGTTAATTTTAATAAATCATCAAACTTCTATGAGAATCTAATAAATATAAACTATTTATAATTGTATAGACTCGCAACTTGGTTAGTTCTTATGGCAGAGAAATTTCCATTATTTGTTGGAATTGATATAGTAATTGATTTGAATAATTCTAAAAAAGAATTATCAACAAATCTGGCTATAATTGGGCATAACGTATTTGATGGTTTACCATTTCCAAATGGCACTTTTGATTTTGTTAATCAAAAAAGTATGTCAAGTTCAGTAACAATTGATCAATGGTCTTTTGTAATTGATGAACTGATACGTATAACTAAATCTGGTTGTTGGATTTAATTATTAATAAATCTAATAATGAAAATGGATGGCGATGTAATAAAGAAAATATATTTATATTATTAACTTTATTTTTCATTATTATTATTAGGAAAATGAATCCATACCATGTTCCATGGACCAGTGACTTACTTAATAAGCTCTAACAAAATTATTAATTAAACTATAGTCATGAATTATGCAAATCACATGTATATAATAGATAGATTGATTCATAAATCTATGGAAATTGATAGCTATTGATAAAATAAAAATTTTCCATTAGGTGGTCATGGTATGGTTGGTGAAATGGTAAAATATATATATTAATAAATTAATATAATGTTTTTATGATGATTATTTAATTATATAGATGAGACAAGTTCCGAATGATTATTCAATAGAAACTATTAGATCTTAGCTCTCACCAATTATGGGGATAAAGTTTAGAAGAATATAACGAACAATTAGGCAATGTAACTTGGAAGATGCTGAGTATTAAAAAATTATAGATGATTATTTACAGTATTTCTTTATTCTATTTACTAATACCCAAATAATATGTTTATTATTTAGAATATATGGAAAGAATAAAGACGATTGAATTATTTATATATATTAAAAATAACTTGTATAAGAGTCGTAATCAATTATTTTTTTTATAAAATTATATTGTAAATTTAAATTTAAAATTAGGCTTAATCTTAATCAAACTAATGATTAATCTTAACTAATTTGCATGACTTTTATCCTGGAAGCGTATGCATGATATTGTATTTCGTTTACATGTATTTCTTCTATATGCATTCTAGTAGTAGATAATTAAAAGTTAAACCTTTTGTAAAATATAACTACAAAATATCCATGAATAATATTCATCTGATTAATACAATCAAACTTGTTTGTTCATACTTTAAAAATAATAATAGAAATAAATAAATAAAAAACAAAAATAAATTAAATAATCAACAACTCACCAAACTTTACAACTTTTTCAAATTTTTAACCTTATCAATCTTCCCACTTATTATTATCATTATTATTAATTAATAAATAATCATATTTAAATTAATAAATTTAATAACTATTTAATTTGCCTTATTAAAATTATATTTCATTAATATCAAGGTCATTTAATAAACTATCATTGCTTTTTAAATTCAATTTATCAAATTCGTCATTTAATATTCTACTTGTATGATAAGCTAATGGATGTGATTTGTGTACTTGTTGTGAAACACCACTAGTATTATTGTTGCCGCCACTGCCACTATCACTGCTAGTTTCATTAAAATTTTTTGTTTCATAAATTTCCTTTAATTTATTACGAGAAAATGCCCAAAGCTCTCCAATAGTTGGTCTCTTGGCTGGGTCCACATCCCAACACCTTTGCATCATTTTTGCATAATCCTCAGGCATTCCTGGTAATATTGGTGGTCGTAAACCTTCACATATTCTTAATTGCAAATTAAAATCATGTGCTTTATCATCAAATGGTGAATATCCTGCAAATAATTCCCACATTAACATTCCAACACTATAAACATCAGTTTCTTTTGTGTATTTTTTTCTTTAAATAGTTCAGGTGCGATATAAGGTATGATTCCATAAATTTTATTTGTTAATTTTTCATCAACTGGTCCACACAATCCAAAATCTGTGATAAAACAATCACCTCCTACCACAAGAATATTACCACTATGTAAATCACAATGAATAAAATCATTTTTATGTATATCATTTAATGAACCACATAAATGCTGAAAAATATTAATTCTCTCTCTTGATGTTAAATTATAATGATTTTTTCGTATATAATCTCTTAAATTTCCCTCTTGCAGATAATTAAGCACCATTGCAAAATTTCCATTTTCTGGGGATTTAGTTATACCATAACAAGGAACAATTGCAAATGATTTAATTTTACAATAATTCAATGCCTGAAATTAATTATCCTTTTTATTTTCATCATAATCATCAATTTTTCCTCTTGTCCATGTAGCAGTATAAATAGAACCGAATCCACCTTTTGTTAATTTTTTTATATTATAAAATTGCTCATAAGGTATCCATTCTATAATTTGATCTGGAAGGGATGAAAGCTGTTGACATCTTTGAACAAAACTATCAATTATTTCATTTCCAGATGTCCAAGTACTGAAAAGGCTCTGTAAATGTAGACTAATGCACTTTTCGCAAAATTTATCAGAGTATTTTGTTGCTTTACAATTATTGCATTCCCTTGGTTCACCCAGTCTATAAATTGCATTTTTTAATTCAAGATTATAAATAAACCTTCCTATACAATATTCTTTTTCATTTTCTAATAGTTCTTTGTTTTCTTTGACTAATTGTAAAAAATAACTTTTTCTATTTTCTCTCTCGGAAATATTTGGAAAAGCAGAATAAACAATACTATTCATTTCATTGAAATTTTTAAATGCTAATCCTTGTCTGTCCAGTGTTAATAACTCATTGAAGGACATTTTAACTTTTCGGATCTACAGGTCACCCATATATAAAATTAATGATCTTCGTGCACAATTTTATATGTAAAATCGAAGGAAGAAATCACGCCCAAACTACCCGATTTAACCAAGATTGTTTCTTTGAATTATAAAAAATCAAAATATATGGAAAAACCTTTATTTTAACATATTTTTTGCCAGGGTAAACAAATAAGACTTGAAGAAAATCTTAACATGAAGTTTGTCTACCAGTTCTATAAGTTCTATAATAATAATAAAATTAAGAAATTGGATAAATGTTCACAATTTCAATCTTTGGACTTAGTTTTTTTTACATAACAATAAGTACAATAGTTAAGTTCTAATTTCCAAGCTTTATTTTTAAATTACACAACTTGTTTATAAAAAAGTATTAACATAGCTTCAAATTTTGCTTTTTTAAACGAATATGAATTCGCGTAATAGATCCTGATTATTAATATTAATATTAATTTTTTTTTTACCAATTAGTGTAATGAAACATTTTATCTAAATTGAGATATAGTAATATAATAATATATATGGATGAAAGTTGTATCAAACAATTTTATTAACTTGGTGATATTTATTTAATATTTTCAATTTTGCTTTTTGAACAAAAATGAATTCGCATGACAAACTCTTTTCAAGGATGGCTATTAATAAAATGGAAATGATGTCAGTTAACTTTGGTTTTTTGGGGGTAAATATTTTTAAAGATACTATCACTATTTTTTTTTTTCATCCATCAATTAATATTTTTTATATATATTTAGAAATGTATTTATTTATTAGTGGTTGTTTTATCAAATATTTATCATCAATAACATTAGCAGGGTCTGATGGGATGTTATTAATATGTAATATATATAAGTTAAAATTAAAAGAAGAGAGAATTTTGTTTATTTAGAAATTATTCTTGATTATTACTTGAACAATGTTTTTATATATACATACATACATACATATATATAATGTATAAATGCTTTAACACTTTAATTTCATCAACTCCGCCTAAATAATTGATAAAAACGTTCATCAAGTATAATGATTTATATATACATACATATATATATAATGTATAAATGCTTTAACACTTTAATTCCATAAACTCCGTCTGAATAATTGATAAAAATGTTCATCAAGTATAATGATTTAGAAAGACTTTTATTTATATTTAATATTAATAATCAAGGTTTATTATACTTGCTTTATTCATTCTTCTCATGCTATAGTGAAATCTAATTTCATATCTGTTTTTTATTTACTGCAGTTAATTTTTATCATAAATTATATACAAGGACGAATATAAGCAAGCTACAAACAAGCTAATATAAATTTCATTTTTTTTTATTTATATACATATTAAAAATTTTAAATTATACACAAGGGTTAAAGTCATGAAAAATTTCAATTTTATTGAAAAAATAATAAAAAGACACTAATATACAAATTAGAAAAAGAAATTATCAAGTCCAATATATTAAGTTTAAATGTTGGATTTCCAATTAGTATTAGCCTCTTGGTGTTTTTCCGTAGCTTCTTGGGGTGGCTCTTGGGTCGTATCTAAATAGAATTAGATGAAGGTTAGTCAAAAGTATGACTAAACAAGTTGAGAGACATTAGGAAGGACGTTCACAGCAGGCCGTCCACCGTACGCTGGGCCTACGTATCTAATCAGGTCTGGAATACCCACTCAGAATCAGATACCCAGGGCTGATACCCAATCAGATACCCCAACTGGTAACTTTCGCAAGCTGTGGCCACGAAGTGCTTCCAGTTCCTATTTAAGGCCCCAAATAACTTCCATAGACCCAGAATAACCATATACATTCCAGAATCAGTCCAGCCAGACTAATCCAAAATTTTAGGATAATTGTGAACCCCAGATGTAACCGAAGCAACCTAGACAGGCTCAATCCATATATACAATTATCCTAGAGCCTATTTCCATTGGGAGCACATGACTGGGTAATGAATCAATCTTCACATATGCAGGCCGTCCACCGTACGCTGGGTCTACACAGAAATCCCAAGTTCCGATACCCAACTGGTAACTTTCGCAAGCAACAAGTTCATGAATCATGTTTATGGGGACACAAGCTTCGCTTTAATCGGGACTTCTCAGTACTTGCCTTTATTACTAGTCTTCCTTTGGTTGCCATTTCGGCTTTACAATAAGTTGATGTCAGGTGTT